ACAGGTTAGCTTCAGTGTCTGTGGACTGCCTTCTGAAGATTCTTCCCATATTCTCTTAAATCATAAGCCTGTAGACTACATAATAAGCTTTGATAGCCAAGACCCTGAAAATAGACCATGTCTGTCCTCCAAGCTGTAGATTTTGGCTGTGTCTTGTATATACTGTTGGCAAAGTTTTGTCATAACTCAATTTTAATGAAATTTACAATGGCTGTTTTATTGCATATTAACAACCAGATGTCACTTTCTTGGCTGATGATTCTATGTGTATTGCAGCTAAGAAACTGTAGTTTCTTCTCACATAGAATCTTGGCACATCTGCCCTCCCCTCAGGTCCTGGAATGTCAAGAAATCTAGGGATAAATGAACCCCACTCTCTGAACCATTTCAGGATGTGGCCCAACACTTGCAGAATTTCCCAGACAAGAGCAGGAGGAAACATTAAAACATTACACCATTTATTAAAATGCCTTACTCCCAAGAATGCTCTATAGGTTATCCTTGACGTATGATCACAATTGAGCCCAAAATTTATGCTGCTAAGTGAGACATTTGTTTACAACCTTTCTTGCCACAGTTGTTAAGGGAATCAATGCAGTTATTAAGTTAGTAACATGGTTGTTAAGAGAATCTGGCTTCCCCATTGACTCTGCTTGTCAGAAGGTCGCAAAAGCTGATCACATGACCCTGGGACACTGCTACTGTCATAAATATGAACCAATTGCCAAGCAACAAATTTTGATCATTTTACCATGGGGATGCTGCAAAGGTCATGAGTGTGAAAAACGGCCATAAGTCGCTTTTTTCAGTGCCGTTGTAATATTAAATGGTCATTAAATGAGCTATTGTAAGTGGAGGACTACCTTCATTGCCAACAGTTTCAGAACTTGATTGTTCTGCTCTGAAAACTACTTCACTGTCAGATATCCTCTATTCACTGCTATGTCAGTTTTTGAAGCTGACACAAATTTTGATATTAACATTTCCAAAGTACCCATCTTTTCCAAAGAGATGGAGTTTAGTATTCAAACCTCCCCTATTTAAAAAATGCAAGTATCAAAACACTTTGCACGAGTCATGGGAGCCATATGACAGCTTGGGCTAGCTGAAGGAACTTTGTTTTTCTTGCCATTCCAATAGAAGCTTACCAGACCAGTAGGTAATTCTAATCCTCTCCATTTAAAAAAAAAAAATATTTAAAAGCACAACCCAGGAGAAAAAAATGGAAAAGAAATAAGTAAAAATGAAACAAGCTATATCTAATTGAGTAAAAATTTCAAAGTAATATTATTGATGCATGTAAAGCAATAAAATAATAAAAAACAGTATTAAAATCCCAAAGGTGCTTTTTCAAGAGACAACTGGACTTTCTGGTTTTTCTTTGAAGACCTTTCTCTTCTCATCCAAGAGCTGGATGAGAAGCAAAACGTCTTCAAAGAAAAACCAGAAAGTCCAGTTGCCTCTTGAAAAAGCACCTTTGGAACAATCATGACCTGGATGACTGAGAATCTCCATAGACACCATTAAAATCAATATTCAATGGGTAACAATAATAGCCAGTAAAATAAGAAATATTAGTCAGAATGAAGATTAAACAAGAATTTGTGTCTAATATAAAAAGTCCAGTCTTTATTCAATAAGTCAGACAGGAACTAATATATTAAAGTTTTACGTTAAGAGAAAGCCAAACTTCAGATGTGATAGAGCCACTTATGTAGAATTATAGTAGGTAATTTTATTTCATCAGTGCTGGTAGCAGGTGATAGTTTTCAGCAGAGAGTAGCAGTTAGTGCTGGCCATTTGATCTCTGGTTTGGACAATGCCTGGTAGCTTTGGTTCTATCTCTGTCTCTTATAGTGCACTACCCCAAATCTTTTTTTCCTGTCTGTCTTTATCAATTACTTATCCATGACCAGAGTTATAAATATTCTATATCAGCCTTTCTCAACCTTTTTTACCCTGGTAGAACACTTGAAATAAATTTTAGGTCTCAGGAAACTGTGGCAATTGAGTAGCGACATGTAAAAATTTCTATCTAAGATTGCATGACATATAAAGGTACAAAACAAACAAACAATGGTTCATTTTCTAATCACAATCTTTCACAGAATCCTAAAGTAATGCAGAACTCCGTTGAGAAAGGCTATACATTCTATACATTTATTTTCTTCGTCTTTTTAAAAAATATATATTTTTATTGAAAGTTTATAAAGCAATAATAACTACTGTGTTTCCCCGAAAATAAGACATCCCCTGATAATAAGCCCAATCAGGCTTTTGAGCGCATGTGCTAAAATAAGCCCCCCCCCCAAAAAATAAGCCCCCCGGAAATAAGTCCTCCCTGAAAATAAGCCCTCCCCGAAAATATTTAAAGGCATGCACAGCCGGTCCCTGCCATTTCCTCTGGTTAGGGTTAGGGAGACAGAGCTGGAAATCAGGTAAGACTGCAAGAGGAGCCCCGTCTTGTTCTACATGCTCCAAAATAATAAGACCTCCCTGAAAATAAGGCCAAGTGCTTATTTCGGGGTTCAAGAAAAATATAAGACAGGGTCTTATTTTTGGGGAAGCACGGTAATACAAACTACTAAATTATAACAAAGGAAAGAAGAAAGAAAGAAAGAACAAAGAAAAAAATGCAATAAGAAAATAAAAAGACAGATATAAAAAAAGGTATAAAGATGTAAAGAAGTAGCTTCTGATATTCTTCCCAGCAGTTATAAATATAATTATCTTTTCACCTCTCTCTTTAAAGTTACATCATGACTCTATTTTTATAATCTATCTTGTCTAATCATCAAAATCATAAAACACAAATTCATTGTTTCATTTTTATACAAAAAGACATGACAGCTTTCCAGTCACCAATAAATATAGATGCAGTCTTTTCTTTAATGGAGACAATGAGCATCTGTGTCTTGTTCCTTTATGAACCTCATTGAAAGGTTTTATTAATTCTTCACTAACAATTATTTGTGCTTTCTGTGAACTATAAATGAATTGTACCCTTTAATAGAATTATTTCCTAGACTCATAAATTCTAGGAATCCAAACAAGAATATCCAATTCAAATTGTCAAAGGCCTTCTCTGCATCCAACAGTATGATTGCAGTTTGTTGTTTTTCATTCTGTTGCTCAAAATACTCCAGAATATGCAAAACATTTCTAATATTACCTTGTAATTGTCTTTTAGGTAAAAGCTTGCATTGATATTCATCATAAAGTCAAAGCTAAAATTATTCTAAATAATTTATAGTCATTATTCAATAATGATATTTGATGATAATTTCTTGTTAAAGTTATGTCTTGAGTCTCTTTAGCTATTAAAACTATATTAGTTTCTTTTCAGTGATCAGGAATCTTTCCATTCTGTAAAATAATATTCACTGTTTGTTGTAATGTTTGTAAAAGTTCATTCTCAAAACATTTATAATAAGAAGCTGACAGCCCCTTCAAGCCAAATGCCTTTCCTGTTTTATTCTTTTCAATAGCTTCACATACTTCCCTTATTGCTATAGGTCCATTCAAAATTTGCCTCTGATTCTCTGTAATCTTTGGTAAATTCTGTTTATTCATTCAATATTCATCAATTTTTCACTTTTTGCATTTTTGCATTATCTGTTATTTCAATATTTTCTTCTTTTAATTTTAATATCACTTTCTTTTCTTTTTCTTTTCACAATTTAGATGCCAACCATTTCCCCAATTTATTTGCAAATTCAAAATCTGTTGTGCATAATTCATCTTTATTTCCATCTCTCTCAAAATTAATGTAGATAATTGCCTATATAAAAGCTTAATTTGATGAGTAATAGTTGTCAGCCCTGGGGAAGTTTGAAATTCTTCCATTTTTTATCTCATCTAAAATCATTTGTATTTTCTCTTGCCTTTTCTTTTCAAGTTCACTATTACATTGTATAAACTAAGTATCCTCTTACAACAGCTTTACTAGCATTTGAAATCATTCTCAGTTTTATTAAGATTGTTCTTTAAAAATATTCCAACTTCTTTTTGCAATCCTTCACTACCATTTCCTACTATAGCAATATTCAATCTCTACCTAACAGAGCCATTTTTTTTCCTTTTAAAAGTTAAACTCACTGGACTGTGATCTGAGAAAGTCTTTGGTAATGTCTTCATTTTAGAAACATTAATAGCCAAAGTCTTAGAAATCAAGCCATATCTATCCTGAAAAAGATCTATATGTTTCAGAAAAATAAACATTTTCTTTTGAGAATATATTTTTATATCTCCATGCATTAACGTTACAAATTATCATTAAATTAAAAAAGAGTCCTTTGGTAATTTATCTTATGTATTTTTAATATTTTTCTCAGAAGTTCTATTTTTTTCTGGAGCAATCACTCCATTCCATCTCCCAGGAGACACCAATTTTCAAACATAAAGTCCAATATTTTATCCATAGGTCCTTTATAAAATGCTTTTTTTACTTTTTATTTAAATTGTGGCATAAATTGCCAATATCAAAATCTTAACCCCCAGAAAATCAACTTCTACACCAAAATCTTTGCTACAATTATCAGTCAATGTAAATTTTGCATATATGGTAGTTGGTGATTTATATACAATATTACTCCATTTGTTTTTTCATTCCAGCTGAAATAAATTCTTCACCCAAATTTTTTTTACTCAAATATTTTAATCCTTTTTCCTAATATGCATTTCTTATAAACAAATCACATTTTGTTTTAACTTTTTCTTATTTTCTTCTTTTTTGAGGAGTGTTTGTTTCATAATATTCCACATTAAGCATTTATAACCCAAAGCTGGGCCATCATTTTAGAAAAGTCAATATACATAGTGCCCTATATGTAATCATCATCAGTAACTTGTATCTATTGTGGCATTTGATCAGCAATAACTGTCATTGTCACTCCATTAAGAAAAAAAAAATCTTTCACTGCATCACCAACACTGCATCATAGGATTGTCATCTTTTATTCCTGGAACTCAGACCTAAAATATTAGTTGGCTTCCAAGACCTCATACTGTCATCATGCCAGAGACTCGGCACACACATACACACGCACGCACAATTAAGTCAGATACACATGTTTAATAATTCAGGAGAATATGGTAAAATATTCAAGGCAGTTGAGTGGGCTCCAGCCCAGAAAATCTGGGAGCTTATTCATGGCCGATACCTATTGCAATATGAAAAACTATATTCAGCTCTTTCATTGGCTATCTACTTAATGAATAGCTTGCAGGATATGCCTATAAAGCCGTCTGGGGTTGTCTACCCCCCACAGGATTATTACACAGAATATTGATAAAATATTCTGTGTAATAATCCTGTGGGGGGTAGACAACCCCAGATGGCTTTGTAGGCATATTTGTAAGAAGGTGATATGGATCTGGACATGTTCAAACATGAAAGTCTTGGTGACTGGGTTCCTTTTTCATTTTATCTTCTTCAGAGGAAATCTAAGTCAGGACAGCAAAGTTTTCATAGCCAGAGTTGTCACTCAAGAGTAATGCAGTTACATAGCCATGGAGGGCTGAGAAAAACCATGCTGACCAGAGGCAAAGACTATATTTGCACCGTTTTTGACAGATGTGTGTCCAACAAAACTCTTTGTAAGTTTACAGCTACAGCATAAATACACACACATATGCAAATATGCTGGTAGCTCAGCAGACTAAAAGCATTGTGATTAACTCCAGCTGTCTGCAATTACTGTAAATTCGAATCTCACCAGGCTCAAGGTTGACTCAGCCTTCCATCCTTTCTAAGGTAGGTTAAATGAGGACCCAGATTGTGGGGGCAATAAGCTGACTTTGTATAAATGTACAAAAGTATGAAGGCTATTGCTTAAGCATTGTAAGCCGCCCTGAGTCTCCGGAGAAGGGCGGCATATAAATCAAATTAAAATTTTAAAAAAATAAAATTAAATTAAAAAAATGTTTATGACCCATTAACTGAATGGTTTACAACAAGACTAGCAAGATATGAACAAAGTAAGGCAACCATCCTCAGTGAGACAGGTTATTGGACTAAGAGAGGGAAGAACCAAAAAAAAGCGAGATCAAGCTGATCGTCAGACAAACTATTAAAAGAGACGTAGTTGTATGTACTGATACTAAAGGTGCTGGACTAACACCAGGGAGACTCATGTTCAAGTGGACTGTCAGCCAGGGAAAGTCATTGATCATTCACAATGGGGAAAATGGAAGGAAGGAATGCCATGTATACTCTTTTACGTTCCAGGAGAAAGGGCAGGGTATAAATCTGATGAATAAATAAATCATAAGTGGTAGAAAGAGCATTAGCACAAGGCTAGATCAGCCTTCTCAGCAGGTGTGCTGATTGGGACTTGTGGGAATGCATAAAAGAGGGAGTTAATGAAATCCTACACAAGTCAAATCAGGCCTCCTTGTAACTTTCTAAACAAAATAGCTGCAGAATGGAATTCACATACAACTAAAGTGACCTTCCCTGTAGCATTTGCAGGAGCACCATGAAGAAAATGGGGCTAGGTCATCTCTACATCCAAAGGATCCAAAGTAACTTTACCTTGTCAAGTGAGGCTGATGTTTGAGGTTCTCCTGCAGGAAAAGAAGTATGACGCTCACATGTAAAATGGTCATGCATGGTGCTTACACCTTTATTATTCTGCAGGATGCTCAAAACTGGAATCGGCATTCTAGGGCACATATACCTACTGAAGCACAAATGTGTACACTGTATTAATATGTGATTTGCAGCTTAATAACTGTAAAGTGTAATGCCAGAGTTTACTGCATATCTTGACATTTAAGATGCTTTTTCACATTGACTCGTGTTATGCTGTTGTTTCCTTTTATACAGTAAATTCTCTGACAGTAGTTCAGAAGGAAATGCACTTTTGAGCTCTGGAAAAAGCATCAAGCACTTAACTTGCTTTTTCAAGCACTTGGGAATCATCAAACATTATGATTTGGGTAAGAAATGTTGATATGCTAGAGTAGATTAAATGCCATCATAGGGCTAAGTTAAGGTTACAGGTTTGCCTCAAGTAGATATGTATGGAATCTGATGCTTTCCATTTAAGCAAAGAATTGAAATCTTAAGAATGAAGAGCAATTGTTTTCAAATGTTGATTTTACTCTTTTAATAAATTATGTTGGAATGGATGAGCCCATGGGGTGGGGGAGATATCAAATCTTTCTTAGAAATCTTTTAGATCAGGGCTGTCAAACTCATGGCCCACGGGCCAGATGCGTCACGCGCTGGCCATTCCCATGCCCGGTTTAGCAAAGGGGGGAAAAAAGTCAGAATAAATCACATGATGCTGCTCTGACGCCGTGGATTTGACACCCCTGCTTTAGATCTTCACTTCTAGCCACTCCTCCTGCTTGGGTTAGCACCTTGGTTGCTCCTACTTTGGCCATGTAGCTTAGAGATGTATGATTAAGGAAGGCTCACACCTTCCTTTCCCCATCCCATTTTGTGATATAGATCATCTCACCAGATATAAACAAAGCCAAACTTATTAAATGTTTCCTTAATCAGTGTCGGCAGTTAAATAGAAAAAAAAATAATACTCCAGACAGACCACAATTTATTGCTTTGCTATAAATGAATGTTTTCTCCTTGTGTGTTAAGAGATAATGCAAAAAAGCTATAAATAAAAAACTGCTTCCTGCCCATCCTAAGGAATGGAACACAAAGTTGAGGATAACATTCAGTTTCTTCATTTATACAGAGAAAAACAGAAGAAAAATCACACTTAACACCACACAATAAAAAGAAATTAAAAGAAACTCTAATGCAATTTCTTAGACATTGAAAATATCAACTTCCTAAATCCAAGTTCCTCTGCTTTACCTAGACTTCCAGTGTTCTGGAGAACTTAACTTTAATCAGAGGCTGCTGAGGTGGTGAACCCACTCTTGTTTGGCCACTTTCCAGGACTTCTCCTGTGTTCATCTACATTTTATTGGTAAAAACATAAACCCTTCCTATTTTCAGCAGGGGAAAGGCATGGAGAATCTGCCTCTCTACACATGACCAAGAGCTATGCCTTACTCATGGATGTGGCATGTTCATCTGGCATGAGGCTAACTGGATGGGAATGACAGCTTCCACATTCACAGCACACATGCACAAACACTCTATTAAAAGGACAGTGGCAGTAAAAGTTGGCTTGAGACAATTCTGTCTTCTAGGAATATCTCTGAAATAAACTATCAGATAAGATGAAACATTTAATAGGTTATGTAACAGAACATGCAAGAGGATATTTTATATTTGTGTGTGTGTGTATGTATATGCATATGCATATATATATATGCATAAAAATCTTGGTTTATGTAGGAAGAACCTGGCTAAAGAGAAATACATGTATATATGTATATATACATATACATACACACACACACACACACACACACACATATATATACATACATATATATGTCTTTGGTTATTCGGGTTTTCTCCCGCGTAAAATTGGGAGATTTTCCGCGGGAGAAAACCCGAATAACCAAAGACCTACATACAAACACCCGTGAAAATCTCAGAAGCAGACATACTGCGAACTCCGGAACTTTAAGATTTTAAAATTTTAAAAGAATTAAAATTTTATTTTACTAAGCTTTCGTCAGCCATCTGCTGACATCGTCAGAGTATTAAACTACCATTACAGAGTATATTACTGAATATATATATATATATATATATATATATATTCAGAATAGATCATTTCCCTCAAATACTGGATCCACTTTTCCCCAGTTACCTATAGTCCACGTTATTCATTTGGCTATTTCCAAATATTTCTAACTGAGAACAATGCTGAAAATATGTTATGTAATTGTTGAATCCCATGTCTAATAAATCAGTATAACAAGTATAATGGGAAGTAATGGCAGGAAAAGAATTGTGAAGCACAGTAATAGCCAAACTAGATGGGACATTGGAGATTGGATTTTGCAGCTCTTTAAATATTTTAAAATAAAAGTGATCACCTCCACCTATGTAAGCTGCATTTGCAACACTAGGAAAATAGCTAGCAGTTTTATCAGTGAAAATTGGCCCTCTCGCCATTATTTGTCTGGTTAATGGAAACTTAACATGTGTGCATCTATAGTAAATTTGAATGTCCAGGGTTTCAAGCTCTCCAGCCTTTTCTGTGGCTAGTGAGCATTTATGGAATGGCAAACTCTGATATTGGGTCAACTCACCATTCAGATCTGAGAAAGCAGCTTTCATGGTAGCTTCCAAAGGCTCTGTGGAAAAAAAATTGCATATCCTGTTGACATCACCATGACATGAAAATAAAGAGAATAAAATGTTTCTATAAAACATAGCCAGATATATAACCAAGAGAAATTTCACACTGGATCTCAATTTGAATATAATATCCCAGCTCATTTCTTGGCTGGTGGCAGGACCTTGACTCTCCATATAGGCTGGAACTACACCTAAAAAGTCTACGGTGTAATCTTGCTGTCCAACACATCTGGAGGCATGCTGGATGGGAAGACTAATGTTAAGAACTGCCCTCCTTATTGATCTATTATTATATGGCTCAGATGCCAATCACCTTGTTGATTCTTCAAGTGTTCACTGTTCCAACTGAAACAACTAATTCTCATACATTAGGGACAATGAGGAACACAAGAGCAAATGTGGCTATTTAAGAAGACAACAAAAGTATTACAAACAGAAGGCAGCTAAGGAGTGGAGCAACCTCTGCTCACAGCGAGAGGCTGTATTCACACATGGGAGTTAAACAAAAACACAACTATTATTCAACTGAAATTGGCTTTCTCCTCATCTATAGAAAATATGTTAAAGACCATTTGCTTCTAGCTGGCTGCTGGGGATTTTCTAGGCATTTCAACTGGGTTATCATGGGCTTCCATTTACTTTATTGTTTATAATTTTAAGAAGAGAAAAGGAAGAAAGCAATGAAAGGAAGATAAAAGATTGAGAAAACAAGCCGTACTTATTTCTTGAAATTACATCTCAACCAGGTTAGAATTGAAAAGATGAAGGTCACTGAAGCATGCTAAGTATTTGCTGTCTCTTCAGGAACATATTTCTTCCTCTCCTCCCTGTAGCCTTTTCTGTTTTACATAGTGACCATTAGGGGTATTTTTATACTATATGTTCTTCAAAAATGGATATCCCTATTATAATTTGCTATCCATTTCAAAAGTCTTAAACCAGACTTTTGCAAGCTGATATTCTTCACCAATTTCCATCCTCTAAACTACATTCTCCATATGGAAATTCCAGAATGAAACATTGGTTAAATGAGTTTGCTCCGTTTTAGGACTTTTCTTACCACAGTTGTTAAGTGAATCATTGCATTTGTTAAATTAGTAACATGGTTGTTAAGTGAATCTGGATTGCTTGTCAGAAGGTTGCAAAAGGTGATTATATGACCCCAGGACATTGCAACTGTCATAAATATGAACCACTTTGCCAAGCACCTGAATTTTGGTCATGTGACCTGGTCGTGTGAAAAATTGTCATAAGTCACTTTTTTCAGTGCTGTTGTAACTTTGAATGGTCACTGAATAAACTGTTGTGAGTCGAGGACTACCTAAATTATTGCAGTGATAGGGAACAATGAGATAAGAGCACCCCCCCCCTCTTAATCACTGATTTTTCTGTAGAATTCTTGATGTACTAGAACAGAATGTGCCTTTTTCTAAGGATGGATGCATTCCACACATCAAATGCTCCGCCTGTTTATCTCAGAAACAGAACAGTGAGCTCATTTAATGACACAGTAATAGAAGCCTAGTACTAATTTATAGAATATTATGGCTATTACCCCATGAATCAGACTACTGTACTGGGGATTTCTTCTATCTACAACTAAGCTGCTTTTCTAAGTTAAATGTAATTCAGGTTGTCATTTTTACTTTAAAATGTCCCCTCTACCAATAAAACACATAAAATAAAAGATATAAGTACAGTTATTCTACAGATGACTATAATAACGAAGGAAGATAAAATTATCATTTAACACATAACCCAGGATAAGCTTTTACAGATAATGGAGTTTTTTTAAAGACACGAATTTCTTCTATATGTGCAGTTGAATATTGTAAACATAACTGAATGTAATGTAGAACAACCCAGTATGAGCAAGCCAAGATTTAGTGGACTATATGTGTCCACTCAGTTTTTATGTAGGTTGGATTGTGGCCTATTAAGTAATTATATCAAAATGTTTGTGTGTTAATTTTTAGCATGTGATTTTTCACACATGGCTTACCACATTTCTTTGTGGACTGTACCTGGCAGTCTTTCTCCACACCTTGTTTTATTATGTGTAATAACATACAGTACAATTGTACTGTACAGCTTAAGACAGCATACTGTTGTACAACAGAATGAACACACATATCCCAAGACCAAGTGCAAACCTGCTTGTAACATTATTCACATAATAGCCCATATTGTACATTTTCAGCTTGTGCTACTGCACTGAAGTTAGACTATGTGGGAAAGCCCTATTCCATGTACCTGTCAATGTAAATTTACATCAGTAGTGGAGGTGAGAGGGGAAATCCTTTCCTGGTAATGCTTGCCTGAATGATTAAGAGTACATCTAAACAACTTATTTTTAGGAGATAATTGCTTCCACATAGTATGCAATATCCCTTGGATATCTACCAAAACTCCAGGGAGAAGTGAACACCCAACCTCCAAACATTTTCTCAGAATGACTGTAAAGCTGTAGCAGATCACGCAGTTAGCATATAAACATCCTTGGGAGAATGCTTTACGTCTTCTAATCTAGATAGTTACCTCCTGTGTTTTTACAGGGTGCTGCAAACAACTGCCAATTTTTGCTGTGCTCAAGCCAACCTGTTGAAGATGAAAGAAAGAAGCTTTCACAATAGGATGAAACTAACTAAACGAGGTGTTTTAATCTGTGTTTCGGCCGAAATATTTAATAATTTTAAGGGATTTTTTAATATTTGTATTATCTGTATTTTATCTTGGCTGTTCACCGCCCTGAGTCCTTCAGGAGTAGGGCGGTATAGAAATTTGATTAATAATAATAATAATAAAAGTACTTATACAGGTGTATATAATTTTTGAGATTTAAAGATGTATTCTTGAAATCAACAGCATTTGTTTCCTTTTCTGTCTGGCTTTTGACTGTTGTCTAAGGATGATTGCTGTAGAAAGTTAAGAAAGACCAAATACAAGAACTGTCCTAAAACATCAGATAACAAAAAAATAATTTGTTTCTGCTTTTCCAGAATTTCAGCGCTTTTGGACGTATTTTTACAAACCCTCATAACTTCAAAAGAATGAAACAAAAGTGAACACAAATAAGAGAACTGGGAAGACAGGATCTTGAGTGTGGTTCATTACACATGATACAGGCTGTCATTAAGTATTTCTGCTGATGTTAGGCTGTTTTCATTTTGCCTTTTTTCTCCTGCCAGAGTTATAGTATCTCCTAAAAAGGAAATATAAACCTTGAAGAAATTAATGCAGTAGAAATAGAACAGTGTAGAAACCCCCCTCCCCAGAATAAAATATTTATTATTATTATTATTTATTGGTTAATCTTTAGTGAGATTCACAGCCTTTGAGGCTGGTTAATAGCTCAGTAGCTCGAGTCCTAACCAAGGACCTAGGAACTGTTAAGGTATCGTCGGAGGATGTAAGCTGTTCCGAGTAAGGTGGTTTTTTGTAGAGTCAAAATGTTCAAGTCCGGCAGATTTAGAATTTCTAAATAGCGGGGTAGCCCTTTGGGTATTGCTCCGAGGGCTCCAATTACAATCGGGACAACACACGATTTCTTTTTCCACAGTCGCTCAACTTCAATTTGTAAGTCCCGGTACTTTGTGATTTTTTCTTGCTGCTTATCTTCAATTCGTGCATCACCAGGTATTGCAATGTTTATTATTATTATTATTATTATTATTATTATTAGTAGTAGTAGTAGTAGTAGTAGTAGTAGTAGTAGTAGTAGTTAATCTTTGGTGAAATTCACAGCCTTTGAGGCTGGTTAATAGCTCAGCAGCTCGAGACCTAACCAAGGACCTAGGAACTGTTAAGGTATCATTGGAGGATGTAAGCTGTTCCGAGTAAGGTGGTTTTTTGTAGAGTCAAAATATTCAAGTCTGGTAAATTTAGAATTTCTAAATAGCGGGGTAGCCCTTTGGGTACTGCTCCAAGGGCTCCAATTACAATTGGGATAACACACAATTTCTTTTTCCACAGTCGCTCAACTTCAATTTGCAAGTCCCGGTACTTTGTGATTTTTTCTTGCTGCTTATCTTCAATCCGTGCATCACCAGATATTGCAATGTCAATGAACCATACTTTTTTTCTTTTCAACTATTGTTATGTCAGGTGTGTTGTGGACTAAGTGCCTGTCAGTCTGAATTCTGAAGTCCCACAAGATCTTGAATTTATTATTATTATTATTATTATTATTATTATTATTATTATTCAGAATAGAATATTTCCCCTGAAGGAGAAGAGGACAGGCATCTTCTTAAAGGCAAAAGGCAGCTCATCTTCCTGCTATAGAAAAACAGCCTCAAGCAGAAACCTGAAGAAGGCTAGTCTTTAGGAATTGATATTTGGTATCCATTCAGAAAGCTGAGCCACTCTATTCATAAGCAAAGAGCAACCAGAAACTCCAATTAAGCAACACAATAGGCAAGGGGCCAAAACTGACAAGATTAGTTTAGACAAACAAAACACCTAGGATTTGCATTTCGTTTCATTTGCACCTATGACCCCTACATGACCCCATAGGGGGCAACAGCCATTAAAATATTAAAGGACATATTCTTGCATAGGAACAGGCATCTCAATCGCAAAGCCCCAAAGAATGTATAAAAGCCCACCTACTCTCAAACCCATTTTGTCAGCCACCCCAGGAACATGCTGCTGCCACTAGTTTCTGGCTATAGAGACCTCCTTTCCTGCAGCCTGCCACCATTTTATTTCCAGCATCTTCCTCCCAGTTTGAAAGCGGACCGGATTTTTCTTCCAACAGGAAAGCCAAATAATCAGACAAATTAACTATGAAATTCCCTGAAATACAAACCTGATCCAACTGTAGGATAGAGGAACTGGGAAGGATAAACAAGTAATAAGTTCTAACTTGTTGAAAAAAAAGACCAGACCACTATGTGAAATTTGAGATATGGGGTCCGTCACACTTTTGTTCTTGGAAATTTGCTATTATGGAGCCTGATTAAT